AGGCTGTGGAGGGGAAGAGTGAAGGACAGCAGCCTGAGGGAGCAGAGCATGCTGGGATAGAGGTCACACTCATCTCACGGCACTCTGCTGGATGTTTCCGGTGAAAACAAAACATGTCTTTCCAAGCTGATGAAGAATTAGTTTTCATGCCACTAACAACAAACATCCAGGAGGAAAAATAATTTAATAAACACATCAAACAAGACCAATGATCAATGAATCAAACTCATTCAAATCACTACAGCTCAATCAATAATTTTAAGATATTTATTAAATATTCAATGAAAAGCAAAAAAGGTTACAAATATTCTCTCTTTTTTATGATTTTGTAAAAGATATTTATTTTATTTTTTCTTAAAAAGTTACAAATTTGTAAAAACATTTTTAGCAGTTTTTTAAAAATAATTTTAAATATATTTTTAAACATTTGTCTCCTTTATGATTTTCTAAAATATATATAAATACATAAATATATATATATATATATACATATTTTTTTTGCTCCTTTGTTATTCATTTAAAACAAAACGGTTATTAAAAGTTTTTTTTTTTGTAAATAATTTTTTTTTCATTTTGCTCTTTTGTTATTCATTAAAATGCAAAATGAAAACGGTTTCTAACTGGACATGTCTAGATCATGATCACTAATCACTGCTTTAATATCCTGCAGGACAGAATAATTCTCTTCATCAAACTCTTGTTTAGATGATCATTTGAGTTTCACAGAAACACAGGAGCCACTAGAGGGCAGAAAAAAACTCTTAAATCACATTCAAGAGCAAACACACACACACACTCAGGTCTGTTCTTGTTTACAGTCGTTCCACAAGATGTGTGTGTGACGTCGATTCATGAGCAGCTTGTTATGACACGCCATCGAGAGAAACGGGACGAGAATGAGAAACAAGACTAGAGAATGTGAGGGATGCCTCAAAACACACACACACACACACACACAAACTCACTACAAACACACTCACAAACTCACACACACTCACTACAAACACACTCGCACGCACTCAAAAACTCACACACAGACACACACAGACACACACACACACACACACACACACTCACTACAAACACCTGCACGTACTCAAAAAATCACACACACACACTAGGGCTGTGCGATTAATCGAAATCGAATCGAAATCGCGATTTGAGACGTTGCGATTTCCTAATCGCAAAGCCTGGTTGACCCGAGCGATATTACTCTGTTTCAGAGCATATGCATGACTGCCAGCCTTGAGTTGTAGTCTTGCTTGCCCTGGGCAAGAGTGAGCGCACCTCCGTTCTCCCCAATCAGCACTGCTCTAGCCAACTGCGTAAACACCCACCAAAAAAAATTAATAAATAAAAAACCGGAACGCGGGACGGGTGAGAGACAGAGTGGGATTATGGCGTCTACTGGGTCAGATCGATAGTTAGGCAAATTAAAACTAAAGAAAACCGTATGCAACTTAAGCTTCGAAATGACAGACAACGAACAAAAGTAATTTCCAAGAGCTGCGTCACAGCGCATATCAAAAGCTCCCGCATCGGTTCTGTTTTCAGTACTGGAGAATAAAAGATACATTCTTAGATGTTTTTGTTAGTACGTGAACGTTATCTTACACATTTTATCTCCCCAACAGATTAATTTAAAATAAGTTTATAATGCATGTTGGCTATTCCCAATTCAGAAGAGCGCACACACAGCCTGTGTCTCTGAATGCTTCTCATACTCGCTCCTCTCTGCCCCACGCGGCGCGAATACCGCGTCGGCTCCGCACCGCAAGTCTTCACGAGCGCATCTGGCAGTATCGACTCGCGCCTGGCTCCGCATTTAAAACGAATGTAAATTCAGTCTAACTGCTTGCTAATTTCACTTGGATGAAATGAAACATTCAGCACATTTTCCACTTGTTCTTAAAATCCCAAATACTTAAAATGAATAAATCAGCCTATGTAACATATGTAATACTTTAATAATTGACTTAAGAAATACAGTTCTTTATTTATAAAAAATAAACAAATATTTTCTGTGAAATTAAGTTAATTCTGTAAAAGTAGTTATACCATTATAATCTTCCTGCTGAAAAACAAAACAAAAAAAACAATAGAACCCCTCCCAAAACACAACAAAAAATTTTATGGATTTCAGGGTTATAATGGGAATTTGTTTGGTTTTAATGTAAACTATAATGGTGTCTATTTGATGGATTCTATTGGTGGGATGTAATCTGGCAGATGGCAACCAATAGAACAACAGTAATTCCTATTGGAATAATGCCCAAAACAAAAAGGAATTTTGTAATGGTTTAATGGAAACTATAAGAATTTCTGTGATGGTTTCTATTGTTTTTTTCAGCAGGGTAATGATACCCATACTGTGCTGCACATTATTGACAATATTGAGCTGAAGCTTGACTTTGCAAATTTAAAATCGCAAATCAAATCGCAATATCCGTCAAAAAAATTTTCCCCCAAATCGCACAGCCCTAACTCACACACACAGAATTAAATTCAAAGATTTTGCTGGAAAAACAAGAAAATGTTATGTTTTACCACTAATTACAACGAGAATCATAATCAATGCTGTTCATCATTCTGAATTATGGACTGATCATGTTATTAGCTGTTGCTCTTTCAAGTCCTTTTAAAGTTCTGTGTTACATGTTCTGTTCGGTCTTAAATACAGTGACTTGTAAATGTAGACCACCAGACGTGGGTGACTGTGCTTCATCTGGAAGTGTGTTTATGCTCATGTTTAAGTCCAGAGCTTGTTCTCTGTGTTAGAATCGTATCTGAGCACAATCTGAGAGCTGTAGGCAATCAGCTGAGCAAACAGGATTTTCAGATAAACACACACACACCCGCACACTCTCTCTCACAAACACACATACTCTCTCACAAACACACATATACACACACACACCTCCACCAGCTGCATGAGGTTGTCGAAGTACTCCTCCTCGTCGATGGACAGTTTCCCGCTGTGATAGATGATGCGGTAGTGCTCCACCTTGCCGTCGCAGCTCACACACAGCGTGTAGTCTCCGGGGTAATTAGTGCTCTCGCGCGCCAGGAACAGCCCCGTCTCCGGCGGATACAGCAGCCGCTCCGCCTGCTCACGCGTGATCTTACCGTGAAACCATCTGACAAACAGAGCAATCAGTCAAACTCATTTATTTTTTAAGCCTTTATGAGATCATACAGTATGTACAGTACAGAGAGACTTCAGGTGAGACGGACAGTAACAGAATCATGCGACTCAAACATGTTCAAACTCAAAAGTCATCCAGTCAGATATTCGTCTAGACATTCAGTTTGCATTATTTGCTGTTCTTTTGATTTCAGTAACTTGCAGACATTCTCTTCGGCTCTCGTGTAGAAGTGATTTATTTCAGCAATATATGATCAGTGTTGTTATTGTTAACTACAACTATTAAAAATAGTCTTTTACTGAAAGACTAAAATAAAATTTGAAAAAAAAGAACTAAAAAAATTTGAAATGCTGCCTTGGCAACTAACTGAAATTAAATAAGTTTAAGTTATAGTACTAAAGTTACTAAAAACTGAAATAAAAATGAAGCTAGATAGAAACATAAACACTAAAAAAAATCTGTATATGATAAAATTACATATAATTATACATTATCTTTTATGGAAACTATATATATATTAGGGCTGCACAATTAATCGAATTTCTAATCGCAATTACAATTACGGTTGCCACAATTACATAATCGTTCAAAGTCCACTTATGTTATTCTGCCTGCTTAAGATGCTTTTTTTTCTTTCTACATGTTATCTTAAGGGGTTTTCCATTGTTTTCATTTTAGTTTTAGTGTAACATTATAATACCATGCATATTTTTACCTTTTTATTTAAAGAGAAAACAATCCGATGTATAGTTGACATTATTGGCTTAATACTATAGAAAAGCAATAAAAGTTTTTCAGTTAGTGTTTTCAGCTTGTTTATTTTCATATAAAAATATGGCATGCAGTTGCTTCAAACAAGGGTGTAAACATCATTCATTTAATCGTAAATTAATAATCACAATTACAATTTCAAAGGAATAATCAACAATTATGATTTTGGTCATAATCGTGCAGCCTTAATATAATATATATACTATATATATATATATATATATATATATATATGCATAAAAAAATAAATTAATAAATAAATGTTGACAGTTAAAATCTAAACAGGAAGTGAAGTCATACGAATGTAGAAATGCTTCAGTATACTGATGTGTGTCACTGACCGTTATACATAACTGTACTATAAGTTATTCTATGTAGGACTCTGAACTTCATCCATTAATGCTGTTTGGTTTGAAGAAGCAGCTGATCTCTGATGCAAGCGGATGACGTCACAGCTCTGCCGGTAATACAGCTCACTGTATTTCACTTCAGCTTTTCACTCATTTACTGAGAAACCCGATGAGTAACGATCATCACAACCAAGAGTTTCACTGTCTTAAACTGTGTGTGCGCGTGTGTTTGTGTAAGTGTGAGTGAGTGTTTGTGAGCAAGTGTGAGTGTGTGTTTGTGAGCAAGTGTGTTTGTAAGCGAGTGTGAGTGTTTGTGTGAGTGAGTGTTTGTGAGCAAGTGTGAGTGTGTGTGTTTGTGTGTGTGTGTTTGTGAGCGAGTGTGTTTGTGTAAGTGTGAGTGAGTGTTTGTGAGCAAGTGTGAGTGTGTGTGTTTGTGTGAGTAAGTGTAAATGAGTA